ATGTCTGGTCGCGGCAAAGGCGGGAAGGGCCTCGGGAAGGGCGGCGCCAAGCGCCACCGCAAGGTGCTGCGCGACAACATCCAGGGCATCACCAAGCCCGCCATCCGGCGCCTGGCGCGGCGCGGCGGCGTCAAGCGCATCTCCGGGCTCATCTACGAGGAGACCCGCGGGGTGCTCAAGGTGTTCCTGGAGAACGTGATCCGCGACGCCGTCACCTACACGGAGCACGCCAAGCGCAAGACGGTCACGGCCATGGACGTGGTCTACGCGCTCAAGCGCCAGGGCCGCACCCTCTACGGCTTCGGCGGCTGAGCCGCCCCGCAGCCCGCGCCCCCAGCTCGTCCCCAAAGGCCCTTCTCAGGGCCACCCACCTGCTCGCACGAAGGGCTGTTAGTAACAACCACGCCTGAAGGTAATACTCTATATTTGGGTCGGTGTCCCGCTGTAATTCCAACTTTTAACAAAATGAAGTCGCTTCTTTGCAAAGTCCCGTCTCGTTTCGGCGCCATTTGGGGCGGTCCTGGCCTAAGATGGCGGCTCTCAAGTGAACCCAAAGAACAAAGCAAATTGGGGGTGGGGGGTCCTCGTTCGGAAACTCCCTGGTTTCGTGACCACCTGGGTCTCGTTGCCTTTGGGGCGGCAGCAGTTCTCTAATTTAAATGCGCCTCACTGGTTGCAGGTTCCCGGGAGCATTAAGATTCACTTTCCCAGAAGGTCCCACCGACCCAGCACCTTGCGGCCTGTAGGCGGCGCTCCTGCGTAACCTCCCTGCGGGAAACCAGGGTAGCTGTGGACAGAGTTAGGCTAGAAACTCAAAAGTGGAAAAGACAGTTAATTGTTTTCTTACTCGGTGCCTTCCTGAGGACGTGGAACTCTAGCATCACTTAGGTCACCGCTTATCTTACTGCTTTATTTCCAGAATTTTGGTAATTAAATGCTTCTTCATGTGTTCTGTCAACCTACAGCCTTCCCACCTGTGACCCTGCCTGCAGCCTCTCCTCCATTTCTCTGCCAGGCAGAAGAGGTAGCCTTTAGGCGATCCCATGCTCACCCTCCCACCTGTGATCTAAATCCTTCCCCTACCTGAAGACTTCCATGTACGCCACTTAAACCCACAGTGAAAACACCCAGGATACCAGGGGCAGCTTCAGTCTGTACCTGTTACATCTTAGCGTAGTTGTTAATGGAGGTACCTTCCACTATCAGTAACTTATTTGGTTGGACAATAAATTAGTTGGTCATCCTATTCTAACTACAAGGATATCCCACCTTAAAGTTTTCATATTCTCTCTGCTGGCTCCTTCCCTTCCATGTGTATAAAATTTCCTTCTTCCCTTCTGGCTGCTTCGGCTGGTCTCATATCAAAATCACATAAGACAGATTAACAGGAGAAAAACAATTTTAATTTTTTACATACAGAAGCATCCAAAAGTATGACTCAAAGGCAGTCAGGCAATTGAGGCTGGTCTGCCATCCAGAGCTAAAGAATGGGAGGGTGACTGGGGCACCAAACGGGAGGAGGCAATTCACAGGAAGAGCTGATGGTTGGTACTCAGGTCATTCAGATAAAAGTTAACTCTGTTAATAGCTCTCTTTTTGGCACAGGCCTGCTGTCTAAATGCTTTTAGGCATAGAAGTTTATTCTGAGTCTGCTGGGTCTTTGCCTTCGGATCAAAATAAGTCACATGCCAAATAGTACATTTTGGGGTAGCCTATTCTGCTCCCCTTCAGTTTTATGCCAGTTTAATTCTCAGGCCCAGCCAAGAACACTAAGAGGTAGAGGTAAAATCTGACTTCCCTGCAAAGGCTATAGAACATCAAAGAAATATCCCACCACCACCACAGGAAGAGAGCATGGAAAGCATTGTTCACTGTTATCCCCCGTCTTTGCAGAAAAGGGGCACCACATGCTCCTTGGAGCTAGTTTCCCTGGCTTCAAACCTCAGCTCCACTGTGTGGGCCTGGACAAATTACTTATACACCCTGGGCCTTGGTATCATTTCTTAAAGTAATAATACTTCAATGTCTGTCTCTTAGGGTTGCTTTGAATATTAAATAAGTTTAATATGTGCACAGTTGTACCTCTGAACTGTCTACTCTCTTACTCTTATTAAACTAGCACAGAAGAAAAAAACCTACACATTAGACCATCTTCTCTAAAGGCCTAGTACCATGCAATAAATGAATGATTCGTGTTACCTGTTTCTAGCCTTTCAGATAGAAAATAAATTATGCAGCTTTGATGGGGCCTTTCCACCTTTACTTCGAGATCAGAAAAGACGAGAAAGGACATTTCTGATGTCTGTCCCCACACCAGCTGTACAGCCTTTATAGATCCGATGGCAACTGAACTGTCGATTCAATATTTCCTCCAGTGTTGGAGAAAGACCAGTTAGCAGAGCAGCCTGGCAGCAGGTTTTCTCCTAACCAGCCATCAATACTTTTCTCGGAAGTATACCAACAAATTTACCTCCACTATAGTTCTTTGTGGCAGAACAAATAACTATATAATGCAAACTTGGTATCAAACTTGCTTGTTTGAATCTGGGACCCTATAATTGTATTAAAATACAAATAATGTGTATTTTAAGTCTATAACTTTTAGTAAATAGCATTTTCTCAGATGTCAGGCATGACGTGCATATGATAAACTTCAATCTCCTATTAAAAATAGTTCTCAAAAACTGAAAAAATTGAAAAATACTTTTCTCAATCATTAAATAAAAATGCAAATTAGTTGGCTGATACATCAATATGAAGACATACTTTATAAAATCTTATAAACATATTGGAATGTCTAAATGGTCCATAATAAAAAACGGGGAAACGAACCTAACTAACTACAGCAGGCAAGAGTTAGGGAAATAAGCTGGGAGTCGAGGGGAATGGGGTGGGCCAGACTCCGGAGAGCCTGTGACCGCAGGAGGGGTCTGGTCCTCCACAAGTGCAAAGTGAGTGCCTAGGGTCTCAGAACTAGGACACCCGAGTTAGGACACTGGCCTCAGTCTAGTTAACGTTAATTTACAAACTTCTTGCCTCAGGTTGAGGGAGGGACCGGCCTGAGAACAGAAATCACCAAGTCCCAGTTAATAACATTTAAACAGTAAGAATTAGCGCCCAGCGGTTCCTGGCAATTCTTAATCGAGCTGGGCTCCTGTGGGCGGTGGCAGCACCTAGCAGACTCATAATTTACACGCGTATTTACGGAATCCCACCCCCACCACCAGATTAAAACGGGCGCACCTGCTCTTCCAGGGTCCTCGCCAACCACGTTCCTTAGAGTTCTTTCACTGGGGACACGGAACGAGCGGGGTCCCTGCGAAGAGCTCAGGACTGCAGAGCTTTCTCTCCTCTGTTGAGGGTTCAGCTCTCCCAGGGATACCCCCCCACACCCTCACTCCACTCGGGTTTCATTTCTTATTCCTGTCTGTCGCCCCCACCCCCACCCAAGTCCGCGCGCCAACCCGATTGGCCCTGGGCGCCGCCACTCCGGGTCCCTGCGCGCTGACTGGCGGCGGCCAGGCCTAGAGGAGCCACCCGCCCCCCACATTCGGCCTGAAGTTACTGCTAAAGCTTAAGACCCCCCCGCAACATCAAACGCAAGAAACCGTGTCCACAGAACCGCCAGAGCGCGACAGCCGCGCACAGCTCTTCCCGAGGACGTGGGCGGCCCTGAGAAGGGCCTTTGGGGGGGCACAGACGCGGCTGGTGGACGCGGGGGCTCAGCCGCCGAAGCCGTAGAGGGTGCGGCCCTGGCGCTTGAGCGCGTAGACCACGTCCATGGCCGTGACCGTCTTGCGCTTGGCGTGCTCCGTGTAGGTGACGGCGTCGCGGATCACGTTCTCCAGGAACACCTTGAGCACCCCGCGGGTCTCCTCGTAGATGAGCCCGGAGATGCGCTTGACGCCGCCGCGCCGCGCCAGGCGCCGGATGGCGGGCTTGGTGATGCCCTGGATGTTGTCGCGCAGCACCTTGCGGTGGCGCTTGGCGCCGCCCTTCCCGAGGCCCTTCCCGCCTTTGCCGCGACCAGACATGACGGACGAGGAGACTCTGCGCCGTTTGTCCCCACACCGCCCGCTGCAGCCTCTTAAGTAACAAGTGGGCGGACCTCATTGGCGCAGAAAGACCGGAAAAGACGGGAAACCGCCCCGAGTCCCCGCCCCGGCTTCCGGAGGCTCAAGTGAACGGGGGTAGGGAAATTGTCCCGGTATTTAGAAAATAAGAAATTTTCAGCAGGAGTGCGTACCATGTACACAAAAGAAATTACCTGGTTTACGTATGTGTGTGTTTTTAAATATTTATCTATCCCATGGATATTTTGGATCATTTTCACACTGGAATTGAAATAAACCCAAACCCCAAGAAACAAAGGAATTGGTAAGCGGTGACAAGCAACCCAACCAGACTTTGGGTGTGAAATCGGAGAGCGGCTGCTCTCAAGCTATTACCGGGCCTGTTTCTTAAACTGAGTTTTAGTGGCCTTCTCCATAAAAAGGAGAAATATTTGTCAATAATTGAGTTATTATAAGCAAAATGGCTTATAGTACGTTGCCAGTAAATCCTGTTGACAGAATTTAAAACAAAGTATAACAGGACTAAAGCACGTGGAAGGATTTCAAAACATTTCCAATATAACACCAGCAAGAGCAGTGTGCTTTAATTTAAACAAGTTGAGCATATTCAATTAAACAATGAAGGACTGCAGAGGGAAACAATGGAAATTCCAGGGGGTAACGCCGTGTTCTGTGTAGGACAGAGGGTGGAGGGTGCTCGTCCTTTCCTCGGGTTGGTGCATGGAATTCAAGTAAAGCTCTCATAAACTCTAAAACTAGGAAAAGGGATTTTATGCAAAGGACAGTAATAAAAATGCAGGCATTTCTAGATCTTTGCATTATTTAAAAAAAAAAAAATTAACTGAGCTAATACCTGAGGGCATACCATAATTAACACAATAAAAATAACAATAATGGGATGTGTGATCTCTGTTGTGGTGCAGTGATAATGCCTGGAGGGCTCTGGAGGAAGGAAATTACCCTGACATTCCAAAAGTCTGTTATCCTAGATGGAAAAAGACAATAAAGAGGTTCAGTTAAGATAAGGATTAATCTTTGTCCCGGAAGATACCCCCTTAGGCCACGACTACCCACCAAGCCTTTTAGTTAGAAAGTTTTGATGTCATATGGCCCTATGTAGTTACTTTCCATCTCTATAGGCCTCCCCTGAGCTTGTTGGGTTTAGTATGAGGTCCCTGTTTTCTTTTTTCCCCACAGTACAATAACCATTCGTCAATGGAAAGATACACAGCTGTTTCTACTTTAAGGCTATTACAAATAAAGCTATTAAAAACTTTCAAGTATGGAGTGGGGGGTTTTTTGTTGTTTCTTCCCCTAAACCCCAAATTTGGGTTTAATTTTGTACTTCCTGCCTTCCACCTTAAAATTGCAGTTCTTAAAGGTGCATTAGTGCTGCTGTGATGACTGGTAGCCTAATAACCTTTCCACAGTCACATAGAAATCACATTGTGTTGGTAAATCACTTGAAAGTTTGCTTCAAGGTAAAAATATCCCACTAGCAAGAGTGCGTGGTTTTTGTTGAATATGCCGCTGGCAATTCCAGCTTCTGTGTTCCTGCCTGAGACTTGACTCTATTAAAGTGCAGAACTATTCACTGAAGGCTAGGAACTCCCATTGCTAATATGTGCCACCTTACTAAACCCAAAACTGTACATTGCCCAAGAATGTTATAGAAATTGCTCTTGGAAAAAAAGCTGAATTCCTGACTAGACCTTTGGCTAAAAACCGAGGCCTCTTTTGCTGCAGTGGTGCGGTGCGCAGCTGTATCACTGAGAGCAGAGCCGAGCACTGCCCTGGTGCTGCTGCTACTTCTAGGGAAGAGGGGGAGACTTGAGCGGCCAGTCACTCCGACGCGGGTACGGTGGTTACTACCTGCTCAACCCCACAGCTGTTTTGGGCTCAGGAGGCACGTTTCACTGCTCTGCTTAAAGCTCTTCAAAGTGAAACAGTAGGCGGCTCTGAAAAGAGCCTTTGGGTTCAAGGTTAAAGGCCGGTTGTAAGGACAATTTACGCCCTCTCCCCGCGAATGCGGCGCGCGAGCTGGATGTCCTTGGGCATGATGGTGACGCGCTTGGCGTGGATGGCGCACAGGTTGGTGTCCTCGAAGAGCCCCACCAGGTAGGCCTCGCACGCCTCCTGCAGCGCCATGACGGCCGAGCTCTGGAAGCGCAGGTCGGTCTTGAAGTCCTGCGCGATCTCGCGCACCAGGCGCTGGAAGGGCAGCTTGCGGATCAGCAGCTCCGTGGACTTCTGGTAGCGGCGGATCTCGCGCAGCGCCACCGTGCCGGGCCGGTAGCGGTGCGGCTTCTTCACGCCGCCCGTGGCCGGCGCGCTCTTGCGGGCCGCCTTGGTCGCCAGCTGCTTGCGCGGCGCCTTCCCGCCCGTGGACTTGCGCGCCGTCTGCTTCGTCCGAGCCAT